CGCCCCCCCCCTGTGTCCCCGAAAACCCCAAGTTGTCGCCCCAATCGGAGCCCCCGCAGCCGCTAGTATCCCCGTCCGCGGTGTCGGAGTTTTATTCTTCGCGCCCGCGCGACGCTTGCTCCTAACGTGCGGCGGCGGCGGCGGTGGCGGTGGCGGTGGCGACGACAACGACGTCGCCGAGAGCCATGCCCCCCCCTTTCCTCCCCCCGGAGTCACGGCGATCGAGATTCCGCACTGTCGCGCACGCACCCAACACACTGTTGTAATACACACTGTTGTAAACACCGCGAACGAGGCCCTGGCCGTGAGAAACGGCCTGGCTACGAGGTGCGCGACGGCGACGACGACGGCATCGGGAACGTCATCGACGACGTGCAGTCGAGAGAGCGCCGGAGTCCGCGGCGAACGATCGCGGTACTTTCACGCTGTTGCGCGCGGCCGCCGGGCGGAAAAAGCCCGAACGAGAACGCCTTCCTCCTTGCCCTCGGAACGGAGCGCCTTCAAACCGCGATACGAGTGCACATTTCCGAACGCACCGCGTTCTCTTTCATTCTCCGGCCGAACAATATTATATACCGGTGATCCGTGGTGCCGGAGGGATTTACGTCGCGCGACTCCCCGCCGTCGAGAATGACGACGACGGCGACGACGACGATGACGACAACGATAACGACAACGACGCGTTGCGGGCGCGACGAACTGATTTTTCGCGATCGCGCACGGCGCGGGATAATCCTGGCCGCGGACGGGCGTTCGTTCGCAAGATGACAGAGGGATTTCGCAGGCATCCGTGTCTCGTGTGCGCGATGCAGCACGGGAGCGCTGCTGAGTGGGGGGAAGCGATGAAAGAGAGCGGGAAGTGAGAGGAAGCGAGAGAAAGAGAACCGGAGGGGGAGGACGGTAGAAGGGACGGAGCGCGAGAGAAAGAGAGAAGAGAGAAGGGAGAGAGTGAGGAAGAAAGAGAAGACATTGACCGAACGAGCAGCCGCGCGACAAGGCCTCCTTCGTCGTGCCAGGCCAGCTGGAAGGAGCGAACCACGATCCGATTGCTTCTTCTCTCTCTCTCTCTCTCCCCCCCTTCCCTCCCTCCTTTTGCTCCTGTCTCTCCTTCTTTTTTTGCAACGACGGCAGCCCATGGCTTGTCGCGCTCTTTCTCTTGCTTCTCCTCTCTCCCTTTCTCGTGCCCCCTCTCTTCTACCTCGGGTGGGTACCAAAGAAAAGAAGGGAAAAAGCCACTAGAGACCTCGCGGTTGGTGCAAAAAACCACCGCCGCTGCCATCGCCGCCGCGGCTGCTGCTACTACCACCACCACCACCACCATCATCATCACTACCACCACCACCATCACCACCACCACCGTCGCCCAGCAAAAACCGCACTCCACCTGCGCACGTGTGCCAACTGCGAGTCGAAACCCCCTAGGACGTGTTCGTCGCGGTCGGATCGCGTGCTCCTCAGCAACGCGAGAATTAATTGAATAAAACCTCCGCGACTGGTCGGCAGGTCGGCACTGTCGGCACTCGGCCGGCCGTCTCGCGGAAGGTGCAACGTTCGCGAAAAGAGCACGTTTTGATTCAATGTTTTGTCGCGTGTTTATTTGAAGTTTCTCTCGATCATTCCTCGAGAGAGCGAGACAGTGGTTGCGTTCAGTAGAAAAAGCAGCGTTATAAAATTCTTTAATATGATTGGTCTTGTCCTCAATCCTCAAACACAATACTGTAGTAAGCCTCAAGTCTTAAGAAATTGAACAATCACAATTATTCTTCTCACCTTCGAAATCATAATTAATAGTCAATTTCTTAAGGCTTAAGGTGCTTATTGCACCTATCGTGTTTCGGTTAATTTCTCGTTGGATCTAAAAGTATAAATCAATCATATTAAAGAATCTTACAACAGTTGCAACGTTGCTTTTTGACTGAACGTTAGCTAGTATATTTTTTCCCTCTCTCTCGCTCTACCTCTTTCTTTTCGAGCAAAGATGCGCCAAGCATGATTGATGAGAGCTATCACAGTTGGCAAGCCGCTCGTTCATTCATACGGCTGAACTGAATCAGCTGACGCGCATTATTCTTAGAGATAGTCGCACATTGTGCTCAAACGACGCGATGTTTTGTCAGATTGAGATTAACAAGACTCCTGTATACACACAACCCCCACCCCCCTCGTTGAACGAAACGTTTCACCTTAAAAACGTAGCTCGCGAGATCGCAAATGTCGATTCGTTGCACCGTCGTTTCCCCTTGCACGCGAGCTATTTTTATTTAAATGTCGCGATATGACAGTGACGCACGTTTTTCCTAACAAACACGGGGTTCTTCCCCGCAAATTGCCGGTGTTCGTACAGTAAATTAATTTACAATCATTAATAACACCCATGTCAACTTCTGTCACCGAGATAGTTATTAGACGATTACATGTTTTCAAGGCGTTTATAACGCTCGCTGTGTGAACCTATAGAACGAAACACTCGACAATTATCGCTTGTAAATATATTACGAAGATTATATCAGATAAGTGGATATGTTTTAAAAAGTCATATGACTCATTCCGCGTATGTATGCATGTGTATGCCACGTAGTAGAGGCCTGCTCACAAAAATCGAGCGGGTACACTCTGATTGACGTTAATACCGCGTTAGACAGGAACGTACGCTATCATCATGTATATCCACAATGATTAAATCCTTTCTCCCGCGACTACACGAGATTGTATGGGTTCAATTCCGCAAACCCCCTATGGCTTTTACCGGTGGTATGTCACAACGTTGCCTTTCGCAAGAAATATGCGCACGATAATTCATTACAGCATGCATATAATCGAGACCCGCCACGATGTGGCATCCAGTGTTTGTTGCATGAGGTATCATCGCGATTATGACGTAAGAATACAAGGTGTTTCATTGCTCGTAATGGTAGCCGAATGTAATTTCGGGATAGATTTCTCCATTGATGACAAATTTCTAATAGCGACTTGTAACATTTTGGACTAATTTCCTAATTGGTCATCGACTGCACATCTTGGAAACGAAACACCTTTGGTTGCGTTCAGTAGACTTAACAGTTCAAGCCTAGTTTGCAGTTAACTCCTTAAAATCTTAGAATTCTAGAATTGAAATGAGGAGTAAGGTGAACGTCAGTTAAAAAGTTAATTGCGAATTGTGAAATTGCGGGCCTAAGTGAGCGCGATTGACGTATTCTTCTAGATCTAAAAGTCTGATTAAATGATCTAAAAGAATACACCAATAACAACGAGCGCTCACTCATGCCCATTTCTACCCCAATGTTCTATCAAGATTAATTGATCTCAATTTAATTTACTCCTCATCATTTCTAATTCTCAGAAAAGATGAAAAGTTAACTGGATCGAGATTAAAAATATATATATATATCTTCTATCTTTATATCGATGTACTAACGACTATACTTAATAGAATGAAAAGTACGCCTATGTAGAAAGAAATATCAGCGCGTGATAAAGCCGTGCAGCATGAATCAAGTCTCGATGCAATATTTGCGTGCTGCATTATCGGACGCTCATCCGCCACGGCGCGCATATAAATAACACCTTGCGCGATATGCAGCCTCGCCGAACCGAAGAAATAACGTGCATTACAATTGTAATACTATTGGTGTTCTCCTGCTGATGTCCGATAAGCAGCGGGCTTTGTAATCTCGTCAAGGATTATTAACTCTTAAACAGATACTAGTTGGTCGTAGAACCGCGGGAATCGGCGGGAATATAGTAATGCCCATTAGAAAGTAATACCTATTAATCGAGTGCGCCGTATCATTTGCCCGCGTACAATTGCGTATCTTCTAAGTGGATACGTTCTTTATTGCCTATAAGATAAGATAATATTTTCCATCTAGGTGTGAGTCGTTTATTTATGTGATTAGTTAGTATCACTACGCGATTTTGCCGATGCTAATTTGCTAATCGTTAGGAAAATATCAATATCGTTATTTTAACTATAAACAAGTTTTATCGATATTTAAGACTAGCGAATCGCCAGGCAAATCGCTAGGCGCGCGCTTCTCTCGTTTCCGTATAAACAGTATATGCCACTTCTCGCAGAAGCAGGCAGAAATCGTGCGAGATCGGAGGGAATGATAAATCGCTCTTACCAATAAAGTTCGTTACTTCAGGGAACACGCACGTCCCGTATAACGAAGGAGAAACGTCAAATTAAGTGAATTACGTGCATAATTACGATGCGTACGTTTATCGCTCATCGACAAACATTCGTAATATAGGGTTGCACCGGTAACTTCGCGGTGAGACTCGCACGAACTCGCGGCATTTGCTCGCGATATGGAATAGATGGAGAGAGAGACGCAGTTTGATGCGACTACGTGTGAAAATTCCGTGGCATCGACTTGGCCCAATTCAATTTGCCTCCGAAGCTTTACAATTGCATTTGAAGTCATCAAGACATCGTCGCTTTTTCACCTTTGCCATTTCTAAATACGCTGAAAAAAATTCACTAAATTTTAATAATTAAATATTTGTTTCAACACACAATACCAACTAAATATTGTATTTACTTTTAAATGTGAACAATATGAACATATATTTATTTGATACGAAACTATTAATTTAAGTGTTATTTTTTTTATTGATAAATATTTATTTGCTGTAAATAAATTCAGTTAATATTATTCAAACAAATATTTATTAAAATTTGGTAAATTTTTTTCAATATATCAGAGTAGTTTACCTAATAATATTAATATATTATTTTATTAATTATATTCTATTTAATTTTTTGTTTTACGAAAGGATTTATTGAGCAATTAAAGTTTTTTTTGTCAATTCGACAACACAAATGCAAAATGATTGCGTTTAACAGAAGAAGCTTTGCAACTATAATACAAAATTACTGTTGTAAAATTCTTTAATATATATATATGATTGGTCTTCTCTTTAATTCCTCACTGGATTTAAATATATAAATCAATCATATTAAAGAATCTTACAACAGTTGCAAAGCTACTTTTCTACTGAACGTAACCAATGAAATTTTTTCATGCAGCATAAAATTAATTAGTTTAGATTACTGAGAGAAAGGAGTTTTCATTCATCCTGGTTTATATGTGTAGTAAGTTGAGAAATTTGATTTGAAATATGCATTAAAAGCTAATCAAAGCATTGTGTTATCGTAGTGGGTGTTACATGTTATCGGTCTCGCTTCCACTTATAAATCTGCACATTTTCTGATTTTCATCACGCATGCCTGATCGAGGAACATTTACGGTGTATGTAAAGTATTTTCGCGTTTGCCATAACAAGCACCTCATTGACCCATCGCACGCGATACTGCTATTGTGTTGGCGTGGCGTAGAACCAGTTTATTCGTTGGGTGGTATTGAAATCCGAAGTAGTTACGACTTTCCTAACGTGAATATCTATCGGCCGATATCAGGACCGCGCCCTATTTCACGGCGAAAAGTTTACTCTAGATAGTAGGTTTACGTTGTAAGTTCACGTATATATTATACACTCTCTGTTTTAATGCGATGTCTACGGTATTGCCTATAATCGTAAATTTTCTTTTAAAGAGCAGCATTCTTTCTAAAACAGTAAAAATTTTCTCTTTTTATGAGAATGCTTCAAGATGCAATTTTTCCCTCTTTTATGGATTTTTATGGATTCGGGAAAATTAAATCCATAAAAACAGTAATACCAAATCAAAACTTTGATCACATATATATCACTCATTTGCGACAACAATGATACAACTCTGAAAACGAAGTTTTTCAGAAAATAAATTTGAACGTTTTGAATGATTAAAATTTTGAAATATTAACTTTAAAATGTAATTTTAGTATAATAACTGTAGAGTAATAAAAGTATATATATTTTTTATGTTTTTATTTATTTTCCGCAATTAATTAAAAAAAAAAAATAACAATTTCTGAGTCACTGTTGTACACTGAAAAGACGGATTTGTTGAAGTATCTAAAAATTTAGCTAGAGCTTCAGATATTGATCTGAAAATAATTCTGTTGGCTCATCAAACGAGCGATATTATATATCATTTCTTTCCGAACGTTTCAAACGCCTGCTCTGAATCTGTGCTCACCTGTGCTCACCTGTGCTGTACCGCGAGGCTGCAAGTGCGCATACCGGGTGCGGTCGTGCGATCGCAGCGTGTCCGTAGTCGCGGGTGCGAGGATCTCGATTCTGTATACTGATAGGATCTCTCCGGCCCCGGCCAATTACACCCGCCAGTTCTCAGAGAGATCTAGCTGGCCGGTCGGTCGATCGGTAGGCTCGCTCGAGTTAACTTTACGTGTTCCTGCATACGTTTCGCCTGCTACTATCGCCACGATATCCTTCTCACCACTCCTCGTTTCGAGGATCTTATCTACGCGTCACGTTACGTTGGCCCCTTATGTGCGCGTTGTGCGTGTGCCTGAACCGGACGACCGTTTACTCCTGCCGTGAAACGGCAAGCACCTGAAGCACCTCGTTGACTGTAATAGCGATTTTAGATCCTCTCGAAAGTATGGATCATCAACCTTCCTATCGTAGCTGTCTGATTCACGTGACTTTGCTACGCAGAGTCTATCGCATACTTTGATTTTTAGTATTTATTAAACGGATTATTCATAAGTTATCGTTGTAATTAATGATAATTCTTCCTAAAATGCTTCCTATATAATTGCTTTTCTGATGATACATGAAAGGAAAGGACGGATTTCCTGAAACATCTAAAAATTTAGATATAGATTTGAAAATAATCAGGTTGGACTATCAAAATAATTAAGATGCTTCAACTAGAATATCAAAACTTTTTGTAACATTGTTCGTTATGCTTGAATTTCTTACGCGCGTAATTATTTATTTTGATGGTTCAACAAAATTATTTTTAAATTAGTATCTAGCTAAATATTTAAAATACGTCATCAAAATAATTTTTTTCATTTAATTCTTCTTTAAGAAAAATTCTATAAGAATCTAAAAGAATACAAAAACTGCAGATTATAAC